AAGGTAATGCTGGCCTCATAGAAAGAGTTTGGAAGTTTTCATTCCATTTCTATTTTTTGGAACAGTTTCAGAAGAATAAGTATTAATTCTTATTTAAATGTTTGGTAGAATTCACCTGGGAAGCCATCCAGCCCTGGACTCTTGTTTGTTGGAAGATTTTGGATTACTGATTCAATTTCTTTCCTGGTTATGGGTCTCTTCAGGTTTTCTATTTCTTCCGGTTTCAGTTTTGGTAGTTTTTATGTTTCTAGGAATTTATCCATTTCTTCCAGATTGCCTAATTTGTTGGCATATAACTGCTCATAATGATTTCTTATAATTATATTTCTTTGGTGTTGGTTGTGATCTCTCCTCTTTCAATCATGTTTTTATTTATTTGGGTCCTTTCTTTCTCTCTATCTTTGATAAGTCTGGCTAGGTGTTTATCAATCTTCTTAATTCTTTCAAAGGAATAGCTCCTAGTTTCATTGATCTGTTCTACTGTGCTGTTTTTTTTAATTTTTATATCATTGATTTCTGCTCTAATCTTTATTATTTCCCTTCTCCTGCTGGATTTAGGCTTTATTTGCTTTTCTTTTTCCACCTCCTTTAGGTGTAAGGTTAGGTTGTGTATTTGAGACTTTTCTTGCTTCTATAGGAAGGCCTATATTGCAATATACTTCCCTCTTAGGACTACCTTTGCTGCATCCCAAAGGTTTTCGACTGTCACGTTTTCATTTTCATTTGCTTCCATTTTTTTTAATTCTTTAATTTCCTGGTTGACCCATTCATTCTTTAGTAGGATGTTTTTTAACCTCCATGTATTTGTGCTTCTTCCAAATTTTTTCTTGTGATTGACTTCAAGTTTCATAGCATTGTGGTCTGAAAATATGCATGGTATGATCTCAGTCTTTTTTTTTTACCAGGTGAGGAATGATTTGTGACCTAGTATGTGATCTATTCTGGAGAATGTTCCATGTGCACTTGAAAAGGATATGTATTCCTCTGCTTTAGGATGAAATCCTCTGAATATATCTTTTAAGTCCATCTGGTCCGGTGTGTCATCCAAAGTCTCTGTTTTCTTGATCTTCTGCTTAGATGATCTGTCTATTGCTGTGAGTGCAGTGTTAAAGTCCCCTACTATTATTATATTATTATCAATGAGTTTCTTTAACTTTGTTATTGATTTATATATTTGGCTGCTCCCAGGTTAGGGGCATAAATATTTATGATTGTTAGAGCTTCTTGTTGGATAGATACTTTTATTATGATATAGTGTCATCCTTCATCTCATTACAGTCTTTGGTTTAAAATCTAGTTTTTCTGATGTAAGTATGGTTACTCCAGCTTTCTTTTGATGTCCATTAGCATGATAAATTGTTCTCCACCCCCTCACTTTCAATCTGGAGGTGTTTTTGCATCTAAAATGAGTCTCTTCTAAGCAACATATAGATGGGTCTTGTTTTTTTCATCCATTCTGATACCCTGTGTCTTTTGATTGGAGCACTTCGTCCATTTACACGAATTACTGAAACATATGAATTAAGTGGTATTGTACTGTCTGTAAAGTAGTTGTTCCTGTATTTTCTCTGTTCTTTTCTAGTCTTTGTTACTTTTGGTTTCTCCTTCCTGCTCAAAAGGTCCCCTTTAGTATTTCTTGCAGAGCTGGTTTAGTATTCATGAACTCCTTTAGTTGTTGTTTGTCTTGGAAACTCATTTCTCTTTCTATCCTGAATGACGGCCTTGCTGGTAAAGTATTCTTGCCTGCATTTTTTTCCCATTTAGCACACTGAATATATCATGCCAGTCCTTTCTGGCCTGCTAGGTCTCTGTGGACAGGTCTACTGCCAGCCTTATGTGTCTACCATTGTACGTTAAGGACCTATTTTCCCTAGCTGCTTTCAGAATTCTCTTTGTATTTTGCAAGTTTCACTATGATATGTCATGGTGTTGACCTCTTTTTGTTGATTTTGAGGGGAGTTCTCTGTACCTCTTGGACTTGAATGCCCATTTTTCCCCTTGATTAGGGAAGTTCTCAGCTATAATTTCTTCAAATAAGCCTTCTGCTCCTTTTCTCCACTCTTCTTCTGTGACTCCTATGATATGGATATTATTTTTTTTTATGGAATCACTGAGTCGACCTTTGTGAACTAATAGTTTTCTTTCCCTCTTCTGTTCAGCTTCATTATTGTCCATAATTTTATCCTCTATATCACCTGTTCTCTCCTCTGCCTCTTTAATCCTCATTTGATTATATTGTCTGTTTTTCATCTTAGTTATAGCATTTTTTATTTCAGCCTGACTAGTTTTTAGGTCGTTTATCTCTGCAGCAAGGGTTTCTCTGGTGTCTTCTATGCTTCTTTCAAGCCCAGCTAGTAGTCTTATGACTTTTGATCTAAATTCTTGTTCAGATATATTGCTTCTATCTGCTTTGAGCAAGTGCCTAGCTATAATATCTTCCTGATCTTTCTTTTGCGGAGAATTCCTCTATCTTTGTCATTTTGGCTAAGTTTCTACCTTTTGCATGTTATGAAAGCTTGTTATGTTTCCTGTACCTTAGAGTAATGCTATATTAAAAAGAGGTCCTACACTGTCTAGGGCCTAGCACTTCAGGAAGTGTTTCTGCTGTATGCTGTAGGCACTCTGCTATTGGGGTTTGGCTGCTCTTTCCCGCTGGTCTGTCCTCTGCAGACTTCCTCCTTGCCTATAGTGGGGAGTGTTTGGACCTTTATCTAGGTGTGCTTTGATCTGTTTGTTGAAAAAAAGCATGGAAAAAAAAGAAAGGCAAAAAAAGAGGGGGGAGGAGCCTGATTCAGAGACAGAGAGCGAGAAAAGGAGAAAGAACAACAAAAAAAAAACCCGAGCAACCAAAAAAAAAAACCCAAACAAAAAACAAAAAACCCCAAAAAACCAAAAAAACTATAAGCCTGATTCCAAGGAAAAAATTAAAAGAAAGAAAAAGAAAAAAAGTCTGATCAAAAAAAGAGAGCGAGAGAGAAAAAGATATGGAAAAAAACAAACAAAAAACTATAAATGTGATTCCAAAGGAATAAAAAAATACAGCCTGGTCCTATTTGCACCAGAACTGAAGGGGACGCTGTGAGGCACTGGGGCATGCGGGGTGCCGTCTGTGTTGCTCTTCTGGGGGAGAAGCGCCCTGTGCTGGCTCAGAGTCAATCCTGCCCGAATGAAAAACCACTTGCCAAGCACAGGGGGGCAGGGTTTGGTGTAAGCGACTCCCACCTCTACTTGGGGCTGCTGTGTTACTCTCTGAGGTCCAATCCTGTGGGTAGCAAGGGCAATATGATGCCACCCAACTCTCTCATCCACCGACAGGGGAAATCTCACACCGCCTGCTGTTCAGAAGCCCTCATCGAAAAGTAAAGGCCTTCAGCATGCCTGACGCCACAACTCTGCTGCGTTTTATCTTTGGTGTGGCTGGGATTCAAAATTCCAAATCTTAAAGGAGCCGGCACCTAGTCCTCCTCTGGGTTAGAGTCTTGCTGCTCTCTGACTAGTGCCCTTTCTCCCACAAAAAGAGTCCCATGCCTGCATGGCGGATGGATTCTATACTGCGCCACCATGAAAAGCAGTGACTGAGTCATCCACCCTCTGCACGCACCTTTGTCCCCTGCCAATGAAAGGCCATTTGTTGGCGCCTGCATGGTCTTGTATCCTTTGGGAGGCAATATATCCTCTTCCAAATGTATTCCACCAATAGGAATGATCTCTCTCCCAGCGCAAGCCGGAAAATCCCTGCACCACTTTGTGCGTGCTCTGAACCAGAGCCTTCCTCCCCAGAAGCACAGGCTACAGCTCTGCTCCGGTGGAAGTCACACACTTCCAAAACTCGAGTTTTGCTAAAACCTGCAACACTCGGTTCCCATTTCCCCAGTCTGTGGTCCGAGAGGCTTTCATCTTGTGCAAACCCAACGCCAAACCCTCTCACCCCCGGCCCCCTCTCTCCCTTTTTTCCCTGGAGAAAAGGGTTCCTTCCCTCCACGTCTCTGAAGCTTGTGTCTCCCCCAATTCACTTCCCCGGCACCTTGCACCTGCCACGCTGTCTCCCTCCAACCACAGAGAATCTACTTCAAATCCTCGGATGGATTTCCTGCATGTTCCAAGTGATCTGACCTCAATACCCCTGTGTACGAGGGATGAGGAAAACCCAGGTTCCCCCTACTTCTCCATTTTCTCCACCCCCAAGGATTTTTTTTTTTTAAAGATTATTTATTTATTTATTTTAGAGCTAGAGAGCGAGCGCAGGGGGGTTGGAGCCAGAGAGAGGGGAACAAGCGGACTCCGTGCTGAGCACAGAGCCCGAAATGGGGCTGGATCCCATGACCCTGAGATCATGACCTGAGATGAAATCAAGAGTTCGGCGCTTAACCGACTGAGCCACCCAGGCGCCCCCATGATTTAATTTTTTTTTTTTGGGACAAAAATGTTTATTGTGCCTGTGGAAATAGCCACTTGATAATTTTATAGACTCACCTTGTACATCTTTCATTTCCTCTTTTTATACACCTTTTTTTTTTTTTTACATGCCATAGAGCTAACCTGATTCTACAAAAAACATAGAACATGCCAAAGAATAAAGTAACAGATCTTAAGGTAGTTACCTTATTATTTATCTCATATCACTGTATAATCGGTGAGTTAACTCAGAAGGATCTACATGTTTGGATAATAATTGCAATTTTTTTGTTCCTGTTCCTACTTTAGCGTTTAGCAGACATTCTTCATGGACATTATTCCATTTGATCCTCAAAAGTATTGTAGGATATGAGATTTTCTATCTCTGTTTTAAAGATTAAATTCAGGGAGTTTAAGTGAGTTGCACAGATTATGAAGAAAAGTAAAGTTTTGGCTAAAATTCATTTCATGAAAGATCTTTTTCCATGACTTAATTTTTAAAGGTATTAATCATCTTCTATGAAAACATTCAATAACAGGTTAGGTAGGCATCTGTTATAAAAATAAGCTATCAAAAGAAGAAAAGACTCAAAAATAACACAAAGTGAAACCAATTACTGTGACTTTATTACAATAGTTACAAACAATATTTTAGTGGTAATCATATCACAATTACTCGAACTATATACAAATAGGTATTTTTACAAGACTACATTTTAAAAAAAGAAAAAGCAATTAATGACCAAAAAAAAATCACATTATCAACAAGATTTTTTCTAAAAGTTATGGCCAATAGCAAAAATTCACAGTTACTCTGAAAATATTTTAAAGATGCAGGAATCATATTGCACATAATACAATTATAAACCCTACTGAGCAGATTTATATATTTTAATCTAGTTTTTCACAAAATTTACATTATCATGCAATACTTCACTGTATACAGAATGGTGGAACTAGAATAAACAGGTTAACTTACAAACTTTCAAAATAATGGCCACAAAATTAGAGTTACTTTAAGTTATACTGAAAATAATTTTACTATACAAAAAGAAAAAAAAAACACTCCAGTGTAATAAAACTTAACGGACACAATCATAATTTGTTCACATATCAAGTTACTTTTTTAGTGTTCTTCTTTGTCTTTTCCTTTCTTTTCCTTTTCATCCTGTAGTGCAGTACCGAGTTTTTTTATAAGTACTGACAGAACCTTGTCAAGTGGGTCCATGACTCCTCTTTGAAGCCATTTAGGAATAGTAGTCCTGGCATGATGGAAGCCCAGTTTTTGAAGAATGTAATCAACACCCACTGGATCAATCTTTCTTCCAGTCCAAGATATTAATCTAAAATTATAAATAATAGCTATTAAGGAATACAGTGCCATAACTCAGTTCTGAAGGTAGGTTCAAGAACATCACTAAGCCTCCATAATATGCTCAAGACAGACTATTCTCAGTTGGTGTAATAGAATAATCTAAGCTACAATTCCTGGGTTTACTATAACAGCATTAAAAAAATATGATTATAAGTATCCTTGAGAGCCTACACATAGCAGTGGAGTTAAGTGAATTTCATTCTGATTATTTTATTTTAGGTCTCTTAAGTTACAGGGTCATCCTGACATTTAAAAAACATCTGGTTCATTCTAAAAGACGTTAACTTGATGGCGGGAATCCTTTTACAATGTGTACATGTATCAAATTGTGACACCGTCCACTTAAAATATCTTACATGTTTTATCAATTATACTTCAATAAAGCTGAGAAAAAAAATAAGAGTTCAACATATATGTGACATAATGTGGGGGAAAAAAGGCTAAGATTTCCTGAGTGTTTGCTATGTGCTAAACATGTCTGAAGGAAGAAGCATTTTCTTCCTATTCCTGGTATTTCCTTCCATATAGAGGAACAGCTATTAGTGAAACACTCCTGGCCTTTCTCAGCCCCTGTATTCATGACTTAATCTGACTGGCAAGTTGACAGAGGAACCGGGTTGTGTGCTTCAGTACCCTCTTCCTATCTTCTCTTAAGAGCCGCTCATTTTGGTCTTTGCTCCATGCAACAGGTTTCTCTAGGACAGGGCCCTAAATAAGTTAGCCCCAGAATGTTCACTGCTCTCCGTGGCTAGGTGAGTTCACAGGGCTGCCGAATGCAGAACTCAAGGTGGGGGTGGGCACACAACTCTGGTGCTCTGCATGATGAAGACCCTGTAGGTAAGTCCAAACCTGGACTTCGTGGTTAGAAGGCCATTGTTGCCAGACATCCAAACCATATTCTCTGTTATGAGCTTTATCACTATTAAAACTGTCGTTTTGATTTCCAGCTGCCTCTCTCTCACCGTTTCAATCGCTTCTGAACTTGGGTAGGGAAAAGGAGGTATGAAGCACTGATCTGCTAAGACTCAAATAGTTATAAGCATTTTGCATTAATTAACTCATTTAACTATTGTAACAACCCTACAAGGGAGGTAATACTGTTTACCGAATTTTTCTTATGAGGCAACTAAGGCAGAAATAGGTTAGGTCGTTTGGCCAAGATCATTTAGTTCACTATGCCATCTAGACAACCGGACTTAGAGCTAGAGTTCCTCAACATGCTCTCTGCCACTACACCATATTAACTAGTCTCCTGACGGTATGTTTAAAAAAAAAAAAAGAAGAATGGCAAATCAAACTTTTTATGCTCATTTTAAATTAAAAGATACTTAATTTCATCATAGATTTACAAATACAAAACAAATTTCTAAGTTTTCTGCATTAGGATCTTTGCAATATTTTAATTTTGTTCTGAGTATTGGCACTGTTAATACTTCTCATGAGTATATGTACTGTTAATTAATGCCAAATTTTATTACATACAAATTATTAACACAAAGTTACTACTTTCTGCTTATACAAGAGTCCACTGTATAATGGATATTTGGTTGCTATGGAATTATTTTGTGGCATAAATGTCTGAAATAATAACCTTATCTAAATGAAATCTGTATTGTTCTGCAGAATGTTGTGTCAGAGTACGATGGACTTTTTTTTGCTACTGTTATTCCATGATTCAGACAGTTAAAATCTGATTAACAAAGCAGATGAGAGGAAAGGGGAAAATGACAGGAAGGTTGTGAGTGCTAACCATAAACAAGGACAAACAAGGCAAGTACCACCAGTTACAGCAGCCATTATAAATGTAATTAAGACTACAAAATACTTTTGAAATTTTCATATGAAAATAAGTTGATATAATTGGGATCATGATTGTAGTAGGACATGTCTCTGTAAATGAACCTGAATGTGACAGCATTAAATTCAACATTTCAGGGATGGTTCTATATTGCTTAGCATGCAGCCAGACGACCCTGTGACATCGTAGGTTCTATTACGCTGTCGGGACATGTGTGAGAAATTGTATTAATTCCTTAACAATGATGTACGGCCGTTACCGTATCTTCCCAAACTAAGAAACAAAAAGTTTACTGCAGGTCCCTCAAACACCTGAAAAGAATGTCCTGGTAAAAAAGATGGTAAAGAAATTATGGCAATGGTGGAGGTGGAGTTATTCTCATCTTCTAGTGACTGACTGAGAGGGTGTCACTCAGTGGAGAGTGCTGAGCTAGTTGTGGTGTTTGTGCTTCTCTTGCCTTGCACTAGAAGCACTTAAAAAAAGCAGAAAGGAGCAGAAAAGACAGCCAGAAGTTAGAGATGTTATAAGTAGCTAACTCCTAAAAACTGTTTTTGGTAAACCATCCTTAACTTGCTACATTTTTTATGACCTCTTTCTCACGATAATCCCGTAGGATACAGGTAAATACATACACCCACTGCTTACCTGAGAGTGGGTTCTAGATGCCATGTGTTGCACATAAAATCTCTCCAGTCCACAGTAGTGTAAGTGATGCTGTCCTCTCTGTCTTTGTCAGAGGAATTGTCATCATGTATAATAATTGGACTTTTCTGTCCTGGTCGAGTAGATAAGACCCGAGGTGGAAAAATGGCTATAATGAAAATGATAGATTAATATTACAAATATATATCTTATAAATTTATTTTAAATCACCATATGAACAGTATAATAGGCTCCATTTATCATTTTACTTATGAACTGGCCAAAGCCTCATTTAATTCCCTTTCTGAAAAACTAGTATTTTAAAAAAAGCCATAAATAACTGCCAGTTACTGGTATTTCTTAGAGAAAGACAATGTCAAAGTTAACATGTCATTTTTTTTTGAGGAATAGCATATATTTTACATGTATTTGTGTGCTTAAAACTAATGGTAAAGAATGCAGAGATTTATTTGATAGCAAGCATAGGGCACTGAAATTGAGGTTTCCTAAGAATGGCTACAGGTGGACATTTTTTAACAGCTGAACATTAACATCCTAAACATCCTAACAGCTGAACATTAACATCCTAAAACTATGGAGTGGTACACTTTAAATGAGTGAACTGTAAAGTGTACCACTCCATAGTTTTAGGATGTTAATGTCCCTCTGTATATTTGAACACTCGTATTAACTTAGGAGCTTTTTATGTAAGCAGTCTTTCACTTTTTATAGTGAATACTCAAATGTTTTATGAAGGACAAATTCTTTTTAAATTGGTGATCATAATATATACAAAATTAAAATCAAATCTGAGACAAGAGCAGTTTTCATTTGGCAAACTTTAATATATATAGCATTTCTCTTACAGCATAGGTTTTCAAGACACAAATTGGGCATAAAATAATAAATTAGGTAATATGATAGTCATTATGTAACTCTGGTTTTAACTTTATTGTGAATTAGCAGTAGGGATAACATGTTGATTGGCAATGAGCCTAGGAATAAAACTGTCCTTAGGTTCACACTACATAAGTATATAGATGCCTTCAGTTACTGCCTCCTCACAGTCGCTCTGCTTTTATTACTGGTAGTCGTTACAGTGCTACAATTTATCTTGATGTTCTAGAAGTATGTTGATTCTGGTCTAGTCTTCCATGCTGTTAAAGATTATTCTCAGGCAAGTTTATGCTTATTTTGGTCAAAACTAATTGCTTTTAGTGCTTAATTACAAAATATAGCTATTTTAAATATTTTTATTTATAATTGAAATCCCCCAAAATAATACCACTTGGTATTGTAAGTCTGATAATCAAGTCCCCATTTCCTTTTTCCCATTGAAAGAATGTTATATAAGTTTGCTTTTCTACTTTTAAAGGTGATTTATATATTAAATTAATTTCAGGTGTACAACATAGTGATTCAGCAGCTGTATATATTTTGAAATGCTTGCCACGAAAAGTGTATTACAATGTTACCCACTATATTCCTTACGCTGTACTTCTCAGCCCCATGACTTATTTTATAACTGGAAGTTCGTAGCTCTTAATCCCCTTTACCCATTTCACCTGTCTTCCCACTCCTCTCCCCTTTGACACCCACCAGTTTCTTCTCACTGAGTCTGTTTCTCTCTTTGTTGTTGTTGTGCAACAGTTTGTATTTAAAAAGAAAGCTGTTTTTTTTTTTTTGATTATGCACAGTTCAGGGCAGACCAAGACCAACACAGTATTTCATAAAATGACAAAGATTTCACATAATAACTGCAAGAAAGAAATCTGGCAGGCTTTTATATAGACACACCTATAGTTACCTAGAAAAGAAATCTGAACTTCACAGGTTTACTTAGAGTCTGTTTTTTTTCCACATTAAGTTTAAATATTAAGGCAGAGAGAAAAACAAGAGGATTACCAGGGACTGGTATATGTTGGTGCTATAAGTGAAGACTGGATCTACTTATATATAATATTTCCTATTATATGGTTTTAGTCATTTAAGTTTCAACTAGTGTCTCACAGATTTCTCCCAGTCATCATTACTGATTTTACTCTCACTGCACTTTTGGCACATCTAGACTGAAGAGTAATGGGGCAGCAATTCAATCTATGCGATGCTACTTTTGCATTGTTTTTTGGTATCTGTTTTCTTCACTTAAACATTCATCATGAGGCCATCTTGAAATACCTGCTAGACAAATTTTGTATTTTTGCTCATTAGGAAAATGAAGTACTATAGGGCGACCTAAACAAATAGCATGTATTCCAAGCAATTAAAAAAAATCACACCTGTCATTTTACTACTACATATTTATATATTTGTGCAATAAATACTTATTGGGTAAATAAAGACCATATATTTGGAGACCATTCCATACCATTATATTTCTGACTACCTCATCTTTTAAACAGCTACAGAGTATTCCATTCCATTATATGGGCACCATAATATATTCAACCAGTTTTTTTTTTTTTAAAGATTTTGTTTTTATTTGACAGAGAGACACAGCGAGAGAGGGAACACAAGCAGGGGGAGGGGGAGACGGAGAAGCAGGCTTTCCGCGGAGCAGGGAGCCCGATGTGGGGCTCAATCCCAGGACCCTGGGATCATGACCTGAGCCTAGGGCAGACGCTTAATGACTGAGCCACCCAGGTGCCCTATTCAACCAGTTCTATATGGATATTAAGGTTACCATATGTTTCTTATTGGACAAACATGTAAATTTCCAGGGGGTGAACGAATGTTAGCTAGCTCATAAAAACAAAACACCACCACTGAAGTCTAATTTATTTATGAAAAGATAGGTTTTCTGCATTCTGAACAGATTTATCTACTCATTTAACTGAGTTTTCCTAACAATGTATATAATTCATGCTATTTCATTATGTAGTTGTTTCTTTAGCCATTTCACTTTGACTAGCAGTATTTCCTCAAAGAGATTTTCTTTCTCTTCCTCCTTTGTGAGATTCTCCTACAAGGCCTGATAATGTATATGGAGACATTTTGTAAAGTATAAAACACCAGTCAGTGTGAGGTATGTTTAGAAAGAGTGTCATGGACATAGCAGATACTCAGAAAGTCTGTCACATAGTTTTACTAATATATTAGTTATATTTATTTCATTGATTGTTATTTACAACTCAAAGGAAGGAGACACATTCCACTCATTTTATCATTAGACCATAAAAATCCACATGAAGGGCACTGACAACTGCCTTTCCTGAAACTGGAAAGGAAAAAAAAAAAGAATATGCTACCCACCTTTTTCTTTTTCTTTAAGATAAGCTGACACTAAATCATGAAGAAACATGATGAGCTCGGCATCCATAGTTACACAAATGTGGTCAGTGAACTCTGTCACCACACTACATTCTACCTTCGGCTTCAGGCTGGCATCTGCAATGGCAAAGTTCTATAGTAAAAGATTTAATGAGATAAGTCCCATTCTCTTCCTGTTAATAAGGGATTTACATGGGTTCATGTAAATGCATCCATTTGAATGCAACTATAGAGAACTGAGTAGTTTCTATATGTGATTTACAAATGATGACAGTTTACTGAGCACTTTCCAAGTACACGCCACTTATTCCTCAGAAAAACCCTCTGAATGAAATACATTATTATTGTCCCCCATTTTGCTGAGGAGAAAGAGGCACAAATGGATTAAATTATTTGCCATAGGTCAAATAGCTGGGAAGAAAATTTGACTAAGCAAATCAATTTCATTAGACTATATTACTATTACACAAATAACCTGTGAGAAAATAGTAACTGGAAGTTCCTTTAGAATTTTCTTAGTAACTTTAGAAACTATTTTTCCACATACCCTGTAATGAAGGTTCCTGTGGTTCTTGTACATGAATGGATTTAAATTCAAGCTGCATCCTTGGTAATGCAAAGATAGTCTCTGTTTCATGATTGTAACTAGAACCTCCTCTGAATCCACTCAACAAACTAGAATTCTTCACTGTAGTGCTATTTTCAGTGTTATTAGCATCAACATTACGAAGTAGGTTTAGCTCTACATGGACAATAATAAAGACAAGAAGAGTCAAATTAAACCAACAGGCACTGATAAGCCTATAGCTTTCATGACACTATCATACACAGAATTTTTATCATTTTATTTTTTTTAAAGATTTTATTTATTTATTTGAGAGAGAGAATGAGAGAGAGAGAGAGCACAAGAGGGGGGAGCGGGAGAGGGAGAAGCAGACTCCCCGCTGAGCAGGGAGCGTGATGCAGGACTCGATCCCGGGACTCCAGGATCATGACCTGAGCCAAAGGCAGTCAGTTAACCAACTGAGCCACCCAGGCACCCAGAATTTTTATCACTTTAAAAGCTGGAAAATAATGATTCACATTTTTAAAAACAGAGCCATATAAAGCTTTGGTCTTGAGATACCTATATATTTATCTATTTAAATATATTTATATATAGTGATACGTTTACATATATACGTAGTGTTTTACTTATATATATAGATAGTGATGTATATCACTATTCTCAAGACTGAAGCTTTATAACATGATTTTGGATAAATCTAATACATTTTGTTTCTGTTTCTCAAAGTTTAAAATGAATATTATTTTTAACTAAATTCATGTCTAAATTTCAAGAGTTTCATTAAGCTCAGAGTTCTCCATAGATAGAATACTTTACTCTTAAATAGAATTTGCAATTAAATACGTTCCTGACCTTGAAATAAGGTAGAAGTCCTGATTTTCCCCAAAATAAGTGCTATGGTTTTCTTATAAAAATTAGCAGTTTTTAGGTACATGGGTAGTAGTGCAGTTTGCTAATAGCCCCTCCATGGTATCCCAGCCAAAAAGAACCCCCTCCTCTAAAATCTCTTTTTGGAAGGTAGAATAGTCAGTACAGAATAGCCAATATATGCATAATCTTCATTTACTTCCTTATCCTCCTTTGTTCTCAGAACATTTTTAATAGTCTCTAATCCCTGGTGCAGCCTATTCCACGGTAACTATTTTCAGTGGGGCCCAAGTCATCTTTCCCATTTTGAAAGGTGGTTATTTTTAAGTAAAACATTCAAGTCTTAGCAGGTCTCAATGTAGTCACCTTTCCAATACAGATGACATGACTGGTAAAATCAGTACTATAAACTTGAACAAAAAACAGCCACAAAATAAGAATTTTCCTGGCCACATTATTACAAGACTGGTGATTCTAACCAAATGGAAAAACTCATCAAAAGCACTCTTTTTAAACTTATTTCATAGGAATAGTATTTAGTTCCATTTTATTCCAACCACCCCAAACCTTAAAGTTTGTGGCATTCTATTACTTAGTTGTGTAGTAACTTTACCAAACTTCTGATGTTTAGCATCACTACAAAGGTATTTTTCTAATTATAATAAATTTCATTTATTTAAACCAACTTTATTTTGAATATTTTCAGTTACATCTAAAATAATTTTTAGTCTATGAGATATTACACTACCAGGATGGTGAATCAGGTACTAATATTGTTATTTATGAGTAAAATGAAACTAGTTTATTTTTACTTATTTTTAGTTTTTTAAAAGATTTTTTATTTACTTATTTGTCAGAGAGAGAGGGAGAGTAAGAGTGCACAAGCAGGGGGAGCGGCAGGCAGAGGGAGAGGGAGAAGCAGGCTTCCCGCTGAGCAAGGAGCCCGATGAGGGACTCAATCCCAGGACCCTAGGATCATGACCTGAGCTGAAGGCAGATGCCCAACTGACTGAGCCACCCAGGCGTCCCAATGAAACTAGTTTAATTAAAGAAATGAAAATTCTCCCTCCACTCAAATTCTAAACACAGGCAACGGAGCCCCAAATACAGGAAAATCTTTCCAAAGAAATAAACTTTTAACCTTCATTCCTTGTGGCTGTAACATAGTTGAACCATTCTTTTACACTTGCTACTCCATGGGGTGGGTTTTCATGGCGACGCCTTGTTATTTTGGTTATTGTTGCCATAGGACTTTCCAAAGCACCACATGGTTTGGTAACCATGGTATTATGGCCCAGATGAAAATCCAACGTTTGTACAATATATGTAGAATGATCACTAGAGCCTAGAAGGAAAAAAAAAGTTTCTTGATGTTAACAAACTATATTTAGATGCAAGAAGATAGTTGTGGCTCTAGAGCAACAGATTTAGTTAACTCATACATAGATAAGGGTGTAAAAAAGTGAGAAGTCAGAAAAAAATCATAAATGGTTTTTCCTTCTTTTAGTTATAACTGGATTTATCCCTGGTGATGAGCATCATCATTTTTTTCAAGATAATGAGCATCAACCATTTTTTCCCTTCATCGTAAGAAATCACAGCTTAGGAAATTATAACTAAAAGGAAGGAGGTTTATCACTGTAAACCGAGGTAAAAGCACAGCCTTACTGATAAAAGTTTTATAATTTAGTCCTATTTCCTTAAACTACCACCATGTGTCTTTTATGTTTTTATAATATTTAGAATAACTATTATTATGACTGGCCAGCCACAGCAGCAGAAACTTTAATTGCCTAAGAAACAGAGTAAGACGGCGGCAAGTTCAGAAGTAAGTCCTTTAACATGCTCCAGACTTTATAGATATTGACTCACTGGCAATGAACTCCTTGACATGTCAAGTACATGAGAACAAATGGAGTTGGACTTCAGAAATATAACAAAAACATATAAAAGATATGAGAAAGGAAAATTACTCTGTCATTTATAATCATATCAGAAGATAAGAAAAGGTAAAAGTTACAAATGTGTCAGTTTACCATCTTCCCAGATTTTCTGAGCTTCGGTCCAAAAAGCAATATTTGGTTCTTCTAAGTGAAAAAGGGCCCAGGATTTTGAACGGAAATTTGGACCATGAAAACAAGCTAGTGTCATATGATTTCCATGCAAGCTCATTGATCCTCCGAACTGCATTCCATTTTCTGGTAATGGAATCTGAAATAAGGATATGTGGCATCCTGATACCACCTTCAATACTCCAGGCCAATGTCGATGATGAGCTGCATCGAGCACTGCAAGAAAATCAAAACCACTTATCCTCAAGTGCTTCACAAACACCCTGAATGGCAGGTAGGAAGGCAGCAGGCGGCTATTTTCTATAGCTGAAGTGATGCAGATAAGGGATGAAAACAATCTAATACCTGGTTAACATTAAGCAGAAGCTAATAAAAATATAGTCTGGGAAAAGATGCTGCGTAAGGATGGATAGAATTAATGAAAATAGTAACTTGCTAATGATAATTATAACTGACACTTCTGTAAATTCATGATTTACAAAGTGCTTGCATAAACTTTTATACAATTCTCACAATAACTCTGTAAATTAGGGACTTGATCTAGATTCCTTTCAAGTGAAGCAGAAGAGGGGTTAAGTGAATCAGTGACAAGAAGATCTAGAAATCATATGGACGCTTATACCCTTGCTACTCAAAAGTGAGGTCTGAGGACCAACAGCAGCAGCAACACCTGGCAGCTTGTTAGATAGAAATAGAAACTCTTAAGTCCACCCTATACCTACTGTATCAGAATCTGCATTTTAATGAGATTTCAAAGTGTTTCAGATACACATTAAAGTTTGAGAAGCACTAATCAGATGTACAATTTGTATTTATATTTCTCACTTATCCCAATAATGTCCTTTTTGGCTGTTTTCCACAACTCTCATTCCAGATCCAAACAAGGATCACACGTTATATTTAGTTATCATGTCTCTTTAGTTTCCTTTAATCTAAAACAGTTCCCTAAGCCTGGTTTGTTTTTCAAGATAAGGATTTCTTTTAAGAATCTAGGCTAGTTTTGGGGAACATCTCTCTAATTTGTATATACCTGACACCAATTCTAGTTTAAAGGAAATATAAGGACTAGAGGAACAAGACAAATGAAACCACAAGCAATCAACTGAAAAAAAAATTTAGAAGGTCAGACATTCTGCAGGACAACAGGCTAAGTCTCTTCAATGAGTCAGATCATTAAAAATAATAAGGACTATGCTGAATTAAAAGAGAGTAAAGGAACATAACCAGATTTAACTTGTGATCTTGAATCTGATATATTGGTTTGGACAAACCAAATATTCTTAATAACAAAATATTCTTAAAAGAATAATTTTAAGGTCAATTATAGAATGTGGTCAGAAGGCCAGAGGAGATAAATACTTAGCAAAATGGAAAACTGGATACTGTTCACTAGAAAAGTTACAAAACAGTATGAACAATAATATTTTGGTAAAAAGTACATGTGTTATATAGGTTTATAGAAAATTATCTGAAAGTACATACTCTAAATTGTTCAGAGTAATGATTTCTGGGTGGAACGTGATGTTTCTATTTTTGCTTATATGTACTTTCTAGGCTTTTCCAATGCATATGTACTGATTATAAAGAGTTATTTAAAATGATCCTGATTCTGACTACTTTTCACCACTTTTACCTCTCTCTGGTTAAAGCTGCCATCACTTGCTGCCTGGACTCTTCCGACGGCCTCCTTACTATAACTATGTTTGCAACAACAGTACTTCCACTCTTCACCACCTGTAGTCTATTCTTCATACAGCAGCCAGAATGATTCTTCAAAAAGGAGTATTTTAAGAAAAAGTAAATCAAATATGAAATCTGTTCAGAACTCTCCAATAGCTAGCCATCATATTCAAAATCTTGTCTTTGGCCATTCATGTCCGACACTTTCCTGCTTGTTCACTCTGTTTCACCAAAGTAGCCACCTTAATAATCCTCAAATAAACAGTTTCTTCTACCATAGGAGCTTTGCACTTGTCAATAGGCCCCTATGTCCAGAACTCTCCTCCCCAGTGGAGATCTTTCTAGCTTAGTACTTTAAAAGGCTTCTGTGACCAACCTTTCTAAACTAGCTGGTCTCACACACTATTCTTTATCTCCTTCTCCTGCTTTTTCAGCACGTCTTTCTATCTGAAATTATCTGACATATTTAGTTAGTAAGTTAGTAAATTAATTATGGTCTATCTCTCCCATTAGAACAAAGCTTTATATAGGCAGGAACTTTGTCTACTAGGAGATCTCCTATGCCTAAAACAGTGCTTAAGAATATAGTTGACTTTGCTGATTGAATTACTGAGTGAAAATAATAACCTGCCTAATATGACACAGCTAATAAATCCAAAAAACTCCAAAAAAAATCCAAAGCTCAGACATTCTGATTCCACAGCCCATGCTCTAAACCAGAACATGGTATTGTCATAATTATTATTCAAGAGCACAGAGTGGGTGTTGGTTATAGATGAGTTGTGGCAGGAGGAGGAGGTAATATGTGATGACTTCCCAAATGATGGCCTTTAATTCTATTGGTGGGTAGGAAATCAGGTACTTTGCTGAGTGAATAGAATAAAGAGCATATGGATCACTTTGTAAGTATGGTACATAGATATTATTTAAATTAAGATTGTAACACAACATTTAGTGAAAGATAAAGCATACATAAAGGCTTAGTTCTGATTCTTACATTGTTCTTGTGAACTTCTCTCTAGGTTATTAGTCATTGTCTTAGGTGGAAGATATGGAACAGGTCCCCAGGTAGACAGAGCTCGTTTGCTGGTGTCAAACTGTTGTGTGAAAAATTCCTGGAGCTTCATTCCTATTTTTATCAGGTCTGGTGTAGTTGATCTTGATATCATTACTTGGAAAATATCCCACTTCAAATCTCCATGGACAAATATTTCACTAAAGCGTAAAACAGAGTTATCATATATCTTACAGAAGATAGCTTAAAAAAAAAAAAAAAGAAAATTCCCTTCTCCACACAGGTTTTTCATTCATGTTAGTTGCATAATACAAAATCATTTTGCAAAAAAAATGAATCATTTGTGTTTTCTCACTGGATGAGAGAAAACATACTAAGAGCAGTCATACAAAGTGTTCAGAAAGTAACATTTCACTAAATACCTTTTATCAGTCATGCTTGAATCCAGTGTGTTATACAGATTTACTTTCCATTCATCCTGAAGCTTGAGATCAGCATTACTGAAGATACCCATGAGGATACTTGAGCCCATGTAATCAACACGAGCTTCAGTAGAACCCATAGTAATCTGAATTTTGTGACTAGGCTGCTGATTTGGATGTTCAGAAATATGAGCTAAAATAGAAATGATAATTACCTTTCATAGAAATACCTAACGGGGAAAACTTACCAATTTTCAAAAATTTGTTTTCAGTTGTAAAATTTCAACATACCAACCATCTCCAAAGCATTGACATCTATGGTCCCTCCAACTACTCCTCCTTTAGAATCCAACTGTGATCTTCCCAGACCTACAGACATGCTTATCTCTCGATCTCGATTACTTCCTACCGACAGACGGCCCTGGCTCTTCAAACCACTAGTTGTCCAACTGGAGAAAAGAAAAAGTGTTGTTAATTAGACATAACCGCTTTCAATGTCATGAATTAAAACAGGAATTAGAGGATTTTAAAAAGTCTGACAAAACATTTCTTATAAAAACTGTGGTAAATGTTTGAATATTGATAATAAAGCTTTCTTAGCAAATTACACTGTTTTCCTTATAATTTTCTCTTTTTAGAGGACATATTCCATGTTGTTTTATATTACAATACCTTTAGGATAAAACCATTTTCAAGATAAAGCAATTTATAGCTTTTTTCTACTGTCTCAAACACTTCAGTATTAAAAAGGTTTTAAATTGCTTTACTATAAAATAAGAAAAATTACAACGAATGATTAATTTTCCTTGTATCTGAATATCTTACGTTGTATTTCCCATTACATTACTCATATTCATTTGAACGTTTAATTGTTTCAAGTTGATGGCAAACACGACCAATGTTTCCCATGGGGTCCCTTGTTGGCTTGCTGCTTTGTTCGATTTGTTAAAAGGAGTTGATGTTTTTGAAAGTGAATCTAAAAACAGAAAAATCAAATGCATATTCACTCACATAGCTCAATTAAAAAGTTATCATTCTTACGACTATAGCCCCAGAAGTAAAAATACGGTATTCTTGATTAAAACCTAACATCTAATAGCTGTCATATTGCTTCTAAAATACTAGCTACCATTTACTGAATGTTCAGTAAGGACTAGCAGTCTTCTTGAAAGCTCATAAAGTTCCGTATGATCTCCATTTTACATGAGGAAATTCTGGTGTGTGTGGGATACAGCAGCACAGATCGTCACCCTGAGATTTTCTTAACAAAGGAGAAAATCATAAGTTGCGGCTGCCAAATAGAGGACTTGAAGGCAGGGACCGTTCTGAAATGCAGACGCCTGCTGAGGCGCCTGTCTCCTGGGTTCCTGTGGGCTCAGCGTGTATCTTGAATCCTGCATTTACTCATTATACTCTAAGCTTGTGACATGAACTATATCATTTTTATATGTTCAGATACAAGTAGAGTGCTGAGCACATAAAAGAGTTCAAAAAACACTGGCTGAATAAAGGAATGACTGAATGGATGAATACCAAAGATTAACTTTTTCATAAATGAGTCTGACACTCAGGAAAAAAAAATTAACTTTTTCAAAATCAAACATCTTTTCCAACATCACAGGTTTGTTTTACTTCTAAAAATAACTACCACATGGAACAAACTAATAATATGCTCATTTCTCTCTTCTTTTCCCTTTTCAAAGCTACTAGCCATCCAGCTATCTCTTCTTCTGGCAAATACTGTGAAGTGTCTGTTGTTTGGTTTTGGGTATTCCCACCCCTCCATCTTCCATAAAAATCTTCAAGAGTATATTTTCCTACAGTTGAGGCAGAAATCTGAGAGTAACTAAGATTTTTATCTTGGGGGCATTGGAGAGATAATGATAACAAAGAGAGCAGTGTTACCTCTTCGGGGAACTGAAGAATCAGACACGCTCCTTGATCTTATGGAAGCTGGGGATTTTAGGCTCTGTGCTGCTGTCCCTGGTGACATGGTGCTGTTTGTCATATGCTCATTGAATACATTAGGTGACTGAGGCATGTGGGTGAAAGAGGCTGACTGACTAGGCTGCTCCCAGGTCCTGCAGTAAGCTTTTCTTGATGATTCAGGAGAAAGATGCTGGCTTACCCCTTCAATGGAATCAGGTGTCCCTGGGCCAGATGCTGTTAGAAAAGTAGAAACAAAATTAACAGAATCAAAATTAATCAGGGTACAATCTCCACATTATAAAATAATAAATTTCACCACTCTACCTTTTCTAATCATAGATTCCTTCTAGTTCTCTATTTGAGAACTGTACAGCAATTTATGGTTTGCAAAGTACATTCCAGCATGTTATTTTATTTAATTCTCATGATAATTCATGAGAGGGGCAATACAGGTACTCTTTTTCCATTTTACAAATAAGGGAATAGATGGGCGCCTAGGTGGCTCAGTTGGTTAAGCATCTGACTCTTGAAATCAGCTCAGGTCATGATGTCAGGGTCCTGAGAGCCAGCCCTGCATTGGGCTCTGCGTTGGGTGGGGAGCCTGCTTGGGATTTTCTCTCTTCCTCTCCCTCTGCCCCTCCCGCCCCCCCGCCAGGTCGTGCAAGTGTGCACACTCTCTCTCTCTCAAAAAAAAAAAAAAATAAAAAAAAATAAGGGATAGACTCAAACTTGGATTTCTAATATTTTCTACCGTATCATGTTAACTCTACCTTTCACTTACACAGTATACTACTAAAACATTCTCTAAGTCCAAGAGAAAAAATGCAGGCAATGTGATAGCATATCCCCGACATTTTCTGTTTTCCATGCTTAATTAATCATGATTAACTTGGATGTCTTACCAAGTAAAACAAAGTTTGGGGTATCAATCATTGATTCCTGTTACTACTGTAACCAAAATTAAAAGTAACGTAAGTATAATTACAATTACATAACAAGCTTACTTGGCAAATTTATAGTTTGGTCTCCAAGGAATAGGCGTCTTGCAATACTTCTCCTATACCAGGCTCTTGGAAATGCCAGAATTTCACTGAGTCGACGCATATCATATTTAAAGGAGGCAGACCCTATATCACATACAGCTGATACATAAATAAGTAAAATCTGTTAGAACAGATTTCCAAAACCTTTAATATTGTCACATGGTAGGTATAACACATGACACAACTAAATTATAATAATGTTATAATTAATGAAATATCAAAATAAGTTACAAGGTATGATTAGTAAGTGATAATATTTGTTCCTTCCACAAATGATAAAAATAGCACATTTTTGGGCACCTGGGTGGCTCAAGTTGCTTAAGCGATTGCCTTCAGCTTAGGTCATGATCCTGGAGTCCCGGGACCAAGTTCCGCATCAGGCTCCCAGCTCAGCAGGGAGTCTGCTTCTCCTTCTGACCCTCCCCCCTTCGTGCTTTCTCTCATTCTATCTCTCTCAAATAAATAAATAAAAATCTTTTAAAAAATAGCACATTCTTACACTATTCCCGTTTCCTTTTCTGAGGTGAGGGCAACTTGGAATTCTGTTGTCACTTTATCATGAAATTCTGAGGGGTTCTAAAGATCAGACTTATTGACAGCTTTCAACTTTAATATAAGGCTCTTCTCAAATATGGAAACTGAATAACTGGGATGGGCAGGGACACAAACTTGCTCAAAAGTAGTTGCAAACCAAATAGTGTGTGGCAAGAACCACTATTTTCCTTTTAGACAAAGAGCAGGGACTTGTCAGTCTGAAGGCATTGTGATGACCGCTTCTTGGGGTTCTGCTCTGAGCACTCTTCCGCCCCTGCTTTACATGCTCTATCGTTCTTCCACCAGAGCTTCTGTAAGGAGTTACAAACCAGTGTCCCCCAAATCTAGTATTTCTGTTTCAGCCTGAGTTCATATCCACATAGCCCATCAGCCAATTATCTACAGACTCTCCCACCTAAACGTCCTATTAAGCACTTTCTTATTTTTGATCTAAGTTAATGACAGTCCACTATCCCTTCAGTCACCTAAGCTAAAAACTTGAGGCATCCTTGTCTCCTCTACTCCTTACACAACTTGTCCTCAAGCTTGTGGGTTCTATTTCTCTTAAAACCATTCCCTCTTCTTTTTTATTGTCACAGTTTAGGGCTTCACTCCCTATTGCTTGGTCTATTTCAACATTCTTTTCAAACATCTCTCCCATTTTTCATGCTGCCATCAACTCTTTCTAAAACACCAATCTGAAGCATCATCCCATTTCTTTTTTTTTAAATACAAACATGTTATTTTATAATACATACACAAATTTATTGTGTGTGGTAAGAACACTCAAGATGAGATCTACTATCTTCACAGATTGTTTTTTTGTCTTCACAGATTTTTAAAGTGTACAATATAGTACTGTCATCTTTAAACACAGTGTTGTCATCCCATTTCTTAAAAACCTCTAATGGCTTTTCACTGCCCAAAGGATCAGAACCCTGTTCTTTAGCCTGGCATATGAGTCTCCCATCAATCTAGTCCTGGTGTGTTTTACCAGCTTTCCCTCTAACCAACTCCTCTCTCCCTTGGGACATTTAACTATACAAGCAGTTAAATGTTCAGTTATACCTATGCTTTGCTTCAGTGAACCAAAGTATGATCAAAAAGCATACTTTCTGATGCTCTCTGTACCATTAAAGACCATGTTGCTATAGCTAAGAATTTTTTTTTTACATAATTTTGAAGATCTGGCCCCAATATCATTTCTTTTGTGAAGCCTTCTTTGATCTCTTGAATAAAACAATTTGTTTCTTCCTCTTTATGTAAACCTCCATTACAGCATTAATCACACTGCACTGTCATTTATTTGTCTACTTGTGAGACCTTGCCTTATTCATGCCGGCACCCGGATGCCAGAGTGTCGGCACAAGTTCACTGTAAAATATAGGCTCAGTGTATGTTTGTTGAATACTAGCTTTAAGTGTACTTACTGTATTTGTGCAATTAATAACTTTAAAAATTTTCACTCCCATAGTACTCTGAATTCTTAAAAATGTTCTACATGCACTTAATTTTAAACAGTCAAGTTGCAACATAAGGAAAATGAGCAAGTGATTTGCCCATAGGTATATGGCTAGTTACAAAGCTAGCAATACACATGTACACAGCTTAAGATCTAATGACACTAAGTAAAAAATTTTTAACCATCATCCCTCATTAGTGTTTTAAGAATTTACAATCAGAAAACTAAGCTAATGAAAAATCAGAAATTTTACCACTTCATGGTAGAGAAGTGAAGAAAAGAAGCAGTTTTCAGTGACTTAACTAGGCATATTTTGGCCTTTGGGTGACATTTCTATGCATTTATCTAGAAATCATATTCCTAACATTGCTTACTTGGACTGAGAGAGTACATTGGCCTAGACTGTTACTCCTCTCATTTAAATCATTCATCACTAAAAGCTTAATATTACTATTAAAACACTGTTAAAAAGGAGGCCCTTGCTTAATTCTGAAAAACAGCATTTTAATTAAGAAACTATACAATTAAGTACCAGATATATTGATTAGTGTAGTGTCCATTTTGCTTGCAGATTTGCTTACAGACTGACTTTCAAAAAATGAGGCACCTCCTGAGCGCCTTATCCGAGACAAACTCACTTTTACAAATTCAAGGTTTATACTGAGTGAGTCTTTTCGACCAGTGACTGAAGTGGGTTCTTCATCCACATTCCCTTTAAAACAAAAACAAAAACACAACACACACACACATATTTATATATGTATGCATATATATACATGTATGCAACTATCTGGTTACATGAAATTATCTACTACACTGGAATATGCCATCAGTTAAAATCACTTTAAGTGAGGTTAAAAATTTAAGAATGATCTAATGAGCATTAGCATTCTTAACAACAGTTTAATAGTTTCAAGCCCATAAACAATAGTGATGATTTTCACAATACTTCTCCAACAAAAACTAGCACTGACATGGAATATATGTTTTTGTTACTTCTCTAAGCAAATCAAGAGACATTCACTAATATCAACATCTCAGACATTTTTAGTGGTAAATCTGCACTTTAAAATGACAGTGAAATTTAAGTTGGTTAAATAATGACAAGTAGGAGAAGCAACAGCAGCAGAAGGTGGTTTCATTTTAAATTGAGAAATGTGATGCACACACTTTAGAAAATCACTATTTGCAGAATACAATTTCTTATACAAATAATGATTTGGTAAAACATTTAAACTTTTCAGTAACATAAATATCCTTTTTAAATCCAAAGATTATTGTGCTGCATATGTCATTTATACTGTTTTAAAATTCTTATATAATTAATTCACCTGAATTATTTATTTCATATTTCTACTTATGTAGAGACAGGATAGATATTGTCAAGAAGAAAAATAAAGTTTCTGATCTTATTTTATATCCATTATTATCTTTTTAATTTTTAAAAATTTTCTTTTATATCCATTATTAAAGGTACTGTGATTTCTGAAAAGATCAAAGCTTGAAAAGGTGCTATAAATTCAAAAAGATGGAAACACTCTTAAGGATACCTAGTCCTCCTGATCCAGGTGTGAGCCCAGAAACAGCAGTTTTTTGTTTCCCTGCTCCGTACGGATGAAATACATAAAGGGAAAAGTCAGACATGCATGCAGTGAAGCTCAACCCAGACGAACTGCTGCTAGAACTGGTCAGATCTGACTGACTACTACTATGTCGACTTCTGCCAAGAGGGCTGCCTAGGCCGGATGAACCTATAGTGAAAACAAGAAATCCAAAATATTTATAAGCCACAGAAGATTGTAAAAGCCTGTCACTTAATACATTCTTAAGAACTAAACAAGACTTGAAATTAAAATGGAAATACTCAAACATTAATTGATCAATAGATTGAAAATCTTGATATCAAAATAAAGACTTAGATGTACTTTTCAATTAATTTATTCTATTAACTGGGGTTGAATACTCTGTTCATCTTTGAAACAATTATTTAGACATTTGATTGGCCAACTCCATGGTTTCCTGTTTCTTTTCTCCTTTGCTCCACTGGAAGCAGGCAGTGGAAGAGGCACAAAATAGCTGGGACTTAAGTGAAGGGGGAGAACTATAAAAAATCCAAATCATATAACTGGAGTCCACATTTCAGTAGCCAGCAGTGGAAATAGAGCAAGGTACACAAATGCAGAAAGTTAAAGATTTCTTTCTCTGAGAAGAAGCAAGTGTCCTCATTGGCAACACTTACCATAGGTGGTGTACAGGCTAATTCAAAATATGCTTTAAATGTAAAAAATACGAGAAAGCATCTTAAGAGAACATTATATGATTTTGCTAATAATTCCAAAATATGTATTTCCAAAATATACAGACCTCCTTTGGATTCATATTGCAACTGGTTACTTGACATCTTACTAGAATGTGTCACAAACATTTAAAGCTCACCATGTCCAAAACTGAACTCTTGATCTTTACCCCCAATCTATTTTTCTTCCAGTGTCTTCCATCTCCAGTAAGTGGCATTTCTAAGCAAATAGCTCAGCCAGAAACCTGAGAGTTATTTGTCTTTCTTCCCACTTCTCTCTATCATGCAATTTATCACCATTATCATTTCAATGTCTAAGAACATATATTAAGCCTGTCCATTTCCCTGTATCTCACTATTGTTACTCTAGTCTAAGCAATTATCAGCTCTGGACTGCTGAAATGGCCAACTGTTCTCCCTGCTTTATTCTACTCTTGTTCTCCTCCAATCAACTATCAGACTACAGCTGGACTGGTGGTGTTCTGAAGGTGTAAATCAGAATCTCACGTCTACTCTCCTGTTTAACCTTCAGTGGCTTCCCCCACATCATCTGGCTCTTTCCTATCTCTCTGAATCTTTTTCATACCAATCTACCTTTTGTTTGCCACACGCCACTTACACTAGTTGTTTGTTTTTTAAACTTGCCAAATTCTTTCTTGCTTCATGGATTTTGTGTTCTCTACCTAAAGTGTTCTCCATCCCAACTCTCTGCTTGGCTAACTCATACTCACTTCACATTTCCACTTAAAATACACTTGTTTGCTTATTTTCTGTTTCTCCAAATTCAGCTTAGGTTCCACATTAGCAGGGACGTATCTGCTAGCTAGGTTCACTACCATCTGGCATGGACCCGGGGCCCCAGTAAAGTTCAATCAAGATCCTTTGAAAGAATGGATACTGTTGTGGCGTCTGGGTGGCTCAGTCAGTTAAGTGTCTGCTTTCAGCTCAAGTCATGATTTCAGGGTCCTAGGATCAAGCCCCAGGTCTGGCTCCCTGCTGAGCAGGGAGCCTGCTTCTTCCTCTCCCTCTGCCTTTGTCCCTCCGCTTGCTTGTGCTGTCTCTCAGATAAATAAAAAATCTTTTTTTTTTTTTTAAGATTTATTTATTTATTTTGAGAGAGTGAGAATGAGAGAGAGAGAAAGAGAGTACATGAGAGGGGGTAGGGTTAGAGGGAGAAGCAGGCTCCTCGCTGAGCAGGGAACCCGATGTGGGACTCGATCCTGGGACTCCAGGATCATGACCTGAGCCGAAGGCAGTCGCTTAACCAACTGAGCCACCCAGGCACCCTCAGATAAATAAAAAATCTTAAAAAAAAAAAAAAAAGAATGGATACTATCATAACCTATACTTCTTATACATTTATTCTTATCATTATTCTTCCTGCATGTTTTACGATGATAAAATGAGGAATGCTATTTCATTTTTTTAAATTTTGTATAGAATCAAAATGTGGACATAAAAAATAGTCACTCATTTCATATTCCTTTCACTATATATACTTAGTATGGTACATATACACACTACTACAATAATTTAAGTGTCATTAATTTGTGGCATTTTGTCATTAAGAAAAAAAGTGAATATCCCAACAGAGAAACGGACATGGGCATATTTATCTCTCTCCCGCATTAGCCAATAAAATAATAACACATAAAATAAAATCCCATTTTAGCCCATCACATTAACAATGATTAAAAATAAATTTAAAGTGTAATGTTGGGAAGAATACAGTGAACCTGGTGTCTACACACACTGTGGTGAGGATGCAGAAATCTTATATTTACTAGACTAGTAAAACATATCAAACACTTTAAAAATGTTCACTCTCTCTGACTCAGGAATTCACTTTTAAGAATCTATCTGAAGGATGTTGATTTATATATAAAGATATTCATCTCAATATTATTCACAAATAGAAAACAAAAAGCCCAGGGAGTCTCAAATATATGATTGAAATGATGGAATATCATGCAATCATTAAAATTATTTTAGAAAGATGAATATTTAATAATTTGAGAAAAACTTATATTTTAAGTTTTTAAAAGATACATAGCAGAAGAGATCATATTTAAATTTTGCCTGGGAAGAAGACTATCTACAAAAATGCAGGAGAGTAGGTAGGAAGTGATAATACTGGTTATCTAAGATAAAAGGATATTATTTTCATTTTTAGTACTCTTGTTTTCTGTATTCTCTATAATGAACAGTGAGTTAATTTTATAATCAAAAAGTAGGTTTTCAAAAACTGACACTACCACTCCAATATTTTATAGACTATAACAAAATTCCAACAGCAATATTTTAGAGCTAAGTGTGACAGTGGGCAACCACATTAGCAAAAACTTATTTCTAAAATATCAACTTTTTTTTTAAGATTATTTATTTACTTATTTATTTGACAGAGAGAGACACAGCGAGAGAGGGAACACAAGTAGGGGGAGTGGGAGAGGGAGAAGCAGGCTTCCCGCTAAGCAGGGAGACCAATGTGGGGCTCAATCCCAGGACCCTGGAATCATGACCTGAGCCGAAGGCAGATGCTTAACGATTGAGCCACCCAGGTGCCCCTAAAATATCAACTTTTTGTTTTCCTCTTTTATGAGGAATACTTTCAAAGATTCACACAGCAAAGCAATGTTTTGTTTTAGCCATTTTTTCAGTGTCTTCTGACATTGCAAAATATCCCCTTGGGGCTTTTTTTTAACCCCTGGTTATGAACCATTGTTTTAATGATAGTTCTCTTATTAATAATTATCAATTTTCACTCATTTTAGTCTCTTTAAGAATGGTCAATAAAATCTTTATCAATTGCAAATGCAATCTTTCTATGATTTTTAGGGCAGAAATGACACTGAGGTTTAATACAGTGAACAGTGACTTTCTCACCAGGAAATCATCAGTTGTGTGTTAAAAACAAAACCTTTCATGAAATGGACATTTGAGTTATAAATATATACATACATTATTACGATTACACACACACACACACACCCACTACCCTTCATACAATTTTAATTCACTGTGATAAATTCTTGCATAACACTGTCTTATTTTCCATTTGCAACACTGATTACTCTTAAATGTAAAAATAGAGCATAAAACATTCAAAAGTACTTAAACGTATAATACATTTGCTTCATAGTGCTTGTAATGTGTACATTCAAGCCAACCAAAAAATGCTATCCAACTGCCATTCACTTGTACCAAAATATACTCAAAAGACTTTGATCTCAATATATTTTTCTATAAATACTCTAATTCTCAAATATTCTCCTTTTCCAAATTTATTTTTTTAGTAATATATACTAATCACTATTAAAATATTCATTTGAAAATAGTAGTTGGCTTTCTACCAGGGGAATAAAAGAGTGTTTCTATACCCGGTATTCCAGTTTTGCTTGTAGAGGTCTTTGTTCCACTCTGAGTAGCATTACCTCCAGGGGATAAAGTCTCTGTGGGATACGTGGTCCCTAAAGTCTCCAGTTCGCCTCGGTTGGAAGAAAACACCAAGTCCAGGGATGGTAGCTTTAGCATGCATTCTACTCTTGATACTGGTAAACAGCTAAACTTGATCTGTGAGGGCTAAAAAGTGCAGAAAGCCAAAAAAAAAAAAAAAAAAAAAGTTTCTAGGTACTAGTTAAAAAATTTCACACTGGATTCAAAAAACACAATTTCCACTTCAGTCCACATATAGCAAATTATTTGACACTTTAAAGACTTTTGTGTTTAATGTCCTAGGTTTTTCAAACAGATACATGATATATTAACCAAAATTTATTAACAAAATGGCATTTTAGGAATCACCTCTGAGTGATACATATTTAGATATTTAGATGATTCAGAACACTAAAGATATCTATGTTCATATTATACTTGTTCATAATCAAATTTTTAAAGGAAATAATTCCTCTTATACTAAAATTTTTAAAAAGCTATTTAATAAGTTTTATAAACTCTCAAGGCCTCCCCCATTACATGTGTTTATCATATCTTCAAAAGGCTAATGTAAAACTCCATCCTGAAGCCCTTTTGGCCAAACTACTATTGTAGAAAAAAGTTTGAACAGATGACCATTAGTGTTTCTTTTATTCTTGAGATTATCAGATTTTAACTGAAGGTAAACTGAAACCTGAAGTTTGGTTACAAGTAGTTTTCAAATCCTCTTTAATAAATGGACTCAATCAGATGCTAATACAGTCCTAAAGGGCGACTGTTAAGACTGTATTTTAAAATAAAATATTAAATAAAAATTCCATAACTTAGCAAAAATCTCACAAAGGTACTACTGTGTGACTTACATCTCAATGACACTTTATATTTGCCCCAAAAGGACCATAATGGCAAGAAATACAGGTGCCATGATAAAAAAAGGGCATAAAATTCTAAAAAAAAAAAAAAAGGGTTTTAACTTACACATTTTTATTTTTGCCAAAAAAGTATAAGATCTAAATTTTGAAAGCCCAAAGATCTATGAACCTCCTCAGCAGAAAAGTAAATACACAAAATTGTACATATACTTCCCAGAGGTCCAGGTGATCTCTAAGCCATTATAGGTTTACTAAAGTTCCATGAATCCAAGGTTAAAGTAACTTTAAGGGAAATAATGTTGGAAATATTCAAATAAACTTAAGAAAAACATTTTTCTTTAGGGGCGCCTGGGTGGCTCAGTCGTTAAGCATCTGCCTTCGGCTCAGGTCATGATCCCAGGGTCCTGGGATCGAGCCCTGCATCGGGCTCCCTGCTCAGTGGGAAGCCTGCTTCTCCCTCTCCCACTCCCCCTGCTTGTGTTCCTTCTCTTGCTGTGTCTCTCTCTGTCAAATAAATAAATAAAATCTTTAAAAAAAAATAAAAAAAGAAAAACATTTTTCTTTAAAACAAAAAGGAATAAATGAAGTATATCACCTGAACTCGTACATAAACCACAACATCTACAGGGAAGGAAGAGTAAGCAGATGTCGAAGATGATACTAATGATGTTGTTGATTCTTCCATAGGATCTGGTATTTCAAAATGTCCCATATCTTCATCTTGTGAACTGACAGCTGTTAAAATATTTAGTTTTATTATTAGGGCAAGGGCAAACTATTTTTTTTTAAAGATTTATTTATTTGAGAGAAAGAGAAAGAGAGGATACGCGTGTGCAAGCACGGGGTGGGTGGGAGAGGGGGAGGGGAGAGAGAGACTCTTAAGCAGACTCCATGATCAGTGTGAAGCCTGATGGGGGACTCCATCTCATGACCCTGAGATCATGATCTGAGCCAAAATCAATACTTGGATGCTTAACTGACTACACCAGCCAGACACTCTGGGAAAACTATTTATCAAAAGATCCTTTCTTGGGGCACATGGGTGGCTCAGTTGGTTTTGCATCTGCTTTTGGCACAGGTCATGGTCCCAGGGGCCTGGGATCGAGCCCCGCATCAGGCTTCCAGTTCAGAGGGGAGCCTGCTTCTCCTCCTCCCTCTCCCTCTGCCATTTTCCCTGCTTGTGCTCTCTGGCTCTCTCTCTTTCTGTCAAACAAATAAATAAAATCTTTAAAAAAAAATATCCTTTCTCTTATGCTAGTACTGAGATCAGGGATATGAACACACAGAAATGTGCTTCTGTAGCCCATCATTCCACACATCTTTCCCTATTCAAACATCCTGCTAATTTCTCCAAATTCTAATTCCCCTCCTACTATAACAAACACTGTACAAAGAAAATTAAGCCTTTGCCCTCAAGAAGTTTCCAGTCCAAGAGGGAAGCTAATGTAGGAATTAAGGATGTTAATTTTGTCATTAACTAGCTGTGGCCGTGGGAAAATCATATAACCTCACCAAGACTTAATTTATTTGTAAATGAGAACTAGATGATTTCTCAAGTTCTTTTCTTGATTTGTAAATGAGGACTAGATGATTTCTCAAGTTCTCTCTATAATTCTTGATTACCGAATATATTATATAATAATATGTAACAGCATTAAAAATCCTTCTAAGTAATAGAATTTTAAAAATATTTGTGATGCAGGGGCATCTGGGTGGCTCAGTCGGTTGAACATCTGACTCTTGATTTAGGATCAGGTCATGATTTCAGGATTCTGAGATCAAGGTCCACGTTGGGTTCTGGACTGGGCATGGAGCCTGCTTAAGGTTCTCTCTCCCACTCCCTCTGTAACACACCCCCCCCCCACCGACTCTGTGCTTGTGCTCTTAAAAAAAAAAAATTGTGATGGGGAAGTAAGTATATAAGGAGGATACTTACTTGTATAATTCCTTTCAATTGGTGTAATTGGGATAGTTTCCAGAGCTTTTTCCAGAAAATCTAATAGGCAGGGACTAATAACCATTTCTTCTGGCAATGACTGAAGTGCTACCCAAGCATATAATTTGGCTGTTTTTACTCCTCCACTTCCTTTTCCTTTGGCTAGAACATTTACAAATGTGAGGTCAATTTAATAGTTCCCATACAACATATAATAATTTTGTGAGAAATCAGAACTATATATGACAGTTTAATCAGGTGAAGCACCTTATACCTAAACCATACAAGAATGCAATAAAAATAGCAGATTGATAGAAATGATATATTAATATTAGAATATAAAGATTAATGATGCATATAAAACAATAGTTATTTCTACTTGCTCTAGGTCATAAATGTTGCTTCAATTTTTCGAGTTTATAATTTGCTTAGTGTCTCATTTAGCATTATTTTGTCCACTTAAGAAGACATAGAGAAATCTGATGAACAACATTTTGTGTTAAGTGAGGAAAAATGTTTTCAGGCTTTCCTATGTTCCTGCTGTTCTTAGCTTGTAGATTTTTACAGTGCCTCCCTACATGGACTGCAATCCCTCTTTCACTTCTACATAACAAATATTTCTGTGTGAGTAGAATGAATGTAATAGCTAACTAAGATTTAGCTAACTCTGGCTTAGGTTTCCACCTCCAACATATATTAGTTTTGTAAACCTAGTAAATCAGCTCAACTTCTATGAACCTGAACTTTCTTCATTTATAAAATGGGGATAATAATATCTGTCCTGCACTTAATGGGCATAGATGTGCCTTGTCAATTCAAAAGTGATAAAAAATTTTATGCATTATCACATTTATTAGCTATTTTATTGAGCATACAGGTCAGCCCTATTCAGTGCAGGAGAAAACTACACAAGGGCATGAGTACCAGGAGGCAAGGGCCACTGGAAGCTATTTTGGAATCTGGCTACCACACCACATGAATAATACCTTATATGTATAGAATTTCCAAGAAAAGGGAATATCAGAAAAGAATTAGTTTAAAATGTTTCATTTGAGAGATGGAATTTGATATATAAATCTTTTAAGATATTGTGGAAGTGAATGTTTGTGATTTCTGAGGCTAAGCCATAAAAGATACTGCAACTTTAGTAGCTATGTTCTCTTTTGGATCACTCCTTTTGAGGGAAGTCAGTTCCCTTGTTATGGGAACACTCAAGCAGCCCAGTGGACAGGCCCACATGGGGAGGAACTAAAGCACCAGTTTGCCCATCATGTGAATGGGATGTGATGGAAGTAGATCTTCCAGACCCAGTCGAGCATTCTGATGACTGCAGCCTTAGCCAACATCTTGACTGCAATGTCACGAAAGACTGTAAAGTTAGATTCACCAGCCAAACTGCTCCTGAATTGTTGATCACACAAACTGTGTTTAAGGTTATAAGCCACCAGGTTTGGGATCATTTGTTATGCAGTAATAGATAATTAATAAATGTGGTTAAGACCAATGTACTTTGTCTTAAAAGTGTAAGTTTGATGCTTCCATCTAGATCATAAACTCCCAAATATGAACTACATAAAAATTTTTCTAAATACATATAGATCTAAGAAGTTAAGTAAATAAACTATTTAGCATATTAAGTTTCTTTTAACACTGATATTCTAAGGTAGTATCAGTTTGAAAAATAGCCAAAGGTCAGGCCACACTTTCATATGTGAGTTTTATACAGTCATTATTGGCAAGTCTATGTGATCTTTTCTTTAACATGTAAATTTGCAAGAAATTCTCAATAGAGCAAGTAGGTGATGATTAAAGTTACCAAAAAAATTAAAAATAACGTATATTTTCCTGAAATACCTGAGGGAATAGGTGGGGGTTGGGGAGGAAGTAAGGTGTTAGTCTTGCTCTGGGCAGTGCAAGGTAAAGGAGGAGAAGGAGGAGATGGTGCACTATCTTTCATACCATACAGCTTGGACTCTTTAGAGAGGGTTCTTGGCAAGGAAGATCCTCTGGAGGCATTAGGTGATTCGGTCTTTAGTGTCTTGGAATTGTAATGCAACTGTATTAAGACAAACAAACTTTCAAAATTAAAATAATGAAGATGAGAAAAACCAACATATGTAGAAAAATGTGGAAGAAAGAACACCAATCCATGAGTCAGAAGACCCAGTTCCAGTTCTTAAAAGTTAAACGCTGTGATACTAGCAAGATTCTTAGCTGTTTCTCATTTAAAATTTAAAAAGTCATCCCAGATAATAAGTTCCTTCTAGCTTAACTTATAGGATTCTATAATTCTAAAATCTAAAAAATAGGTGTTTAAGTTGGACTAGGAAAGGTTTAGCAAATGTAATGACTATCAATGCATAAAAAAGTAACTTCTTACTGACAAATTTTAATGGAAAAGCTGTATAAAAGAAGTGGCAACCTGCAATTTAGATGTTCTTATGTTCAGAATATGGCTATATCAGGGAAAAATGTTGAAAAGTCTCTTCTTTTTTCTTTTAATTTTTTAAATTTTATTATGTTATGTTAATCACCATACATTACATCATTAGTTTTTGATGTAGTATTCCATGATTCATTGTCTGCATATAACACCCAGTGCTTCATTCACTACGTGCCCTCTTTAATACCCATCACCAGGCTAACCCATCCCCCCGCCCAAACCAGGAAAGTCTCACTTTAATAGGTAAAGGAAGAACACGTATGACAGAAAATAAACACTGCTAAGAATACTTTAATCCTAGACTTTTAGGTTTTTACCTTTACATCAACTCCAGGAATGTAAAAAACTGTTGTTTCTAAGTCACTAGACTTTGTCTGTAGAGATGATGGCACTTTCTTGCCAGTCATTAAATGGGTGGTAGAAGCATAATTAGTTTGAAACTTCTTCTTTTTTGAAGGAGAATCTTGATCTAAACTCCTGGAACTTCTATCATAACTCCTATAAATAGAGAAATGATTTTTATCTTGTAAAAAAAGGCATTTATCTCCTTTTGTTTAAAATCAAACTTTTACTTATACAGTAAGTGGAATGTAATCCTTCATTAATAAAGTTGAAAAAGGAAAGCTCATTAGTGCCCGCTGCTAACCTGGCTAACACCGTCATGGATGATCTTCATGTTGTGTGCTCTGCAGCTACATAGGGCAGCCACCTTTAGGCTTTTCTGAGGTCACAGGTGTTTCACATGAACGTATTAGGTTGAACCAAATGAAATTGCCTTTTACATAGGTAAAACCCAGCTGAATATAAGCAATGTATTATAATGAATTAACATGCTTTTTATCATTACTACTACATTTGTAGGAATTTAACTGCTTGAGTGTCTTTTTATCTTCTCATTTTATAAAACCCTCCTTAGACAAAAAGACAATTTAAAAATCTTTTTTTTAAAAAAAAGTAATCTCTATACCCAACATGGGGCTCAAACTCACAATCCTGAGGATCAAGAGTCCCATGGTCTACCAACTGAGCCTGCCAGGTGCCCGTAAAAATCTTTTATTATGAAAAATTTCAAACACGCAAAAAGTAAACAGAATGGTAAACTGTGAACCCCTATGGCTCTATCTCCCAGCTTCAACAATTGTCAGCATTCTGCCCCCTTTTTTAATTGACATTTCCACCCACTCCCAATCTATCCTCTCAATTATTATTTTCTTTAGCTCTTTTTTAGATTAGGAAAGAAAAGCAAACATTCAAAGAAAAAATAATCTAATCTTAAGCCTCTTTATACCACCACTTTTTCAATGATGGAGACAAACGGTAAAGTGGCAGTTATACCCTGAAGCACATTCCAGTATACTGAGGCCTCTCTGTCCCCCAGTTTCCCAATCTTGCTTTTTTTCTGAATTCATCAAAATTCTGAATAACCAAGATATCTCTGAGTACTGCACTGTTCTTTAAAACAGAAATGTGCACAATACAAGAACAGAGACTGAGAAATTTGGGCTTATTTAAAGGAGAATTACAAAGATACAACTCTTTGAATTAAATTGCTAGAATCTAAAGCAGAAATGCATTTCTAGTTGCCAGAAAACTTTATACGCTTGTTTATTATTTATTTTTTTATTTTTTTTAAAGATTTTATTTATTCATTTGAGACACAGACTACAGAGAGAGAGAGAGAGAGAGAGAGAGCATGAGCAGGGAGAGAGGCAGAGGGAGAGGGAGAAGCAGGCTCCCCGCTGAGCCAGAAGCCCGATGCGGGCCTCAATCCCAGGACCCCAGGATCATGACCTGAGCTGAAGGCAGAAGCTTAACCATCTGAGCCACCCAGGAGCCCCTATACACTTGTTTAAAGAAACAGTATGTTATACAAATAACCACTCAAACTTATAACTATGATTAAATCCACTCTTTATATCTGTATTTTGGGACATGGGTGAAAAAGTTCTTTGTAATTCAGTGATATATCAATAATATTTCTAACAAATGAAGTTACATGTATCCTTTTCTGACCAATTTCTTACCTTCTCAAGCTTATATCGTCATGTTCTTGCAGAAGGGTAGTTGGGTGGAGCACACATTTTCCACTATCAATTTCGACTCGTATATCAAGTTCAAAGTCAATATTTCTCTCTGTAGCAGTGCCACTGAGACTTCGGTTGACTGGAGTTGTGGGCCAGCGTTCTGTAAATAGTTGATGAACAGCAGCAAAGCCTGTTGCTTTTTTACGAGATGTATGTCTAGAGAAAGAACAATTGATCGTTACATTGTATTAAATTGGAAGAATTTCCAACAACCTATTTCCCAATATATTATGTCAGCAACAGTCTGTAAATAAATTTTACCCGTTTTACAAATTCATACATAGTACTCAACTAGCTCATACTAATTGAAGTTTTTCCTAAGTTTGATGGAGTTACATTTTATTCAACAACCATGCACTCAGTAACTATTATGTGCCAGGTGATGTGCTAGGTGTTGAGGGCACAGGCATAATCACTGCTATTAAGGGAGTCTGAATATCAGTGTATGAACTATAGTCTACATTTTTGAGGAGATTTCATTTTTGAAAATTGTAAAATGCTATTTTCCTGATTTTATTAAAAGAACGAAGAATAAGGAAAGAAAAAAATAATGCCATGTGGAGCTAAATTACATTAGTAAACCATGGCTCACTTAGTCTCTTAGTCTCACTCTGGCTAGGTACATTAACATTTTTTTCTGTAAAATTTAATAGTTATACATAATGCTTTAAAGTTCAGTTCTAGACTCTGAAATGTTACCTACGGGTCTCAAAATAAAAAGGTCACTTACGAGGGTTTCCTGTAAATATAAAACCTTTCCCTCTCATGGTCTTCATCCTTCTCAGAATCTTCACTAGTAGAAGACAAACTGTCATCCCGTCGGCCCTCTTCAGGTTGGAAAGGAATGCCTGATGAATAACCTCCTGGAGTTTTGGGAGAACTGAACACGGAATATGATCCTTCACTATTTGAGGAGTAATGGGATGGACCTTCAATGGTTACTGACAAAAGGTCCAGTTCTGTTTCCTCTGGAAACTGTAAAAAGAGAAGACATGGATCAGGTTCATATTACACATCTCTTCTTAATTAAAAAAAGAAAAAGAAAAAAAATATATGTGTAAACATTTAAAGTCCTCTCAGAGTTGAATTTCCTCACTCTGACTAAAAGAAAGTCATATGAAATGGAACACCAAGAAAGGAAGCAGGTCTTAACCACAGAAAGTCACACTACTGACATACTAAAAATTAGAGTGAAATTTTACGTTATATAAGCTTATATCAGCCTGTTAATTAGTACATACTGTGTAATTCTTTAAGCATAAGTTAAACATGCTGTGGAGACAAAGCAAATAATGTTGATCAACTGTAAATCAGAAGGGCAAGAGAGCAATTAGTGATGGAAGAGCACGCAGTGTCCATACAGAAAGTACTTCATGATTCCGGATGCTTTTTATAGATAGCTTTTAAAAATGAGTCCCTAATTGGCTGTAGACAGATGTGCCAGTCATTATGTAATTAAAGATATCAATCAAACTTAAGAATACTATTTTTTAAGGTTAATAGTTTTTTATAAACACTATGTCACTGAGAATTGCACCAGGAGGCCACTGTATTTAAGTAGATCAAAAAAGAAACAATAACAACAACAACACTTCCTATGATCTAATTTGTATTCCCACTTTTGAGAGTTGCTTAAATACCCTTTGAAAATGTGTTAAGCCTTTGTAAAGTGTTATGTGCAAGGTAATGTAATTTATTGACGCTATTAGATACAACAAAATTAGATACAAGAAAACAGAGTACTGTAATAAAAATTTCAAACATGCAGAATTCAGCTTTTCCTCACTTTTTATAATATACATGTTATTTAGTAAATAAGTAAAAGATTTTACTTATCAGAACATCTTTAAAATTTACATTTTTAAAAGTAAGAATCTGTTTTATGTTTATATATATATTTTATATTTATTTTTGTTTAATCTTTGTTTTATATTTATTTTACATTTAACCATGCCTTAGTGATCTATTTTATAATTTGTGATTTTTATATACTATTTTTTACAAATAGCATACACTACTATTTAAAACTAGGACTTGAACCAATTCAAATATTAATGCCTTTAAGAATTACTTAATCATTTCAAAATATACACATAAATCAAATCATTAGTTTTACATCTGAAACTGATATAATGTTGTATGTCTCAATAAAAAAAATTGGATGGGGAAAAATCAATTAGGAGAATCCCTCAATTCAATTCTGTAAATGATTTACTTCCAAGTTCGTTTTTAGAAAAAAAGGACATGTTTATCAAGCTCCCTATAATCTCATAGTTCTAAAACAAAATTCAGTTTGACTACATTCAGTGTAACTACGGGATATGTACTAAAACTATAGCTTAAGAAGGCAGGAAAGCAAAATGTACGTGGAGTAAGTGCCAGTTTGTAACGTAACTTGACAGAAAATTCCTAGACAAAGATTTATATACCTAGTGTACAGATCTATTTTTAAAATTTAATTTTACTTTCATGACTTATATTTAGGGAAAATACACAGTTCATAAAAATGTTAATTCAACTTATAAGTCCTTGTGTAGCACATTTTCCATACTGTTTTGAACATAATTTTTAAATGGATTGTTTTTATAAATGTATGTTTTATATGCATACAGTGACTCCAAAGAAGTAACATTCAATGATTAATCTGTTGTTCTGTGAGAAGTTTGATTCTAGTTTCTGTTAGTTAAAATTCTTTTTTTAAAGGAAAGATTCATTTTGTGGTTGAATGTAGAGAAAAGAGATTCACATAGGGATTAGCAAATAATTAATAAATAGCAGTTTTTGACTTACGATTTGGTTAATCTGGTAAGCTGATTTAGTCTTTAATTCTGGAGATTCAAAAATTAATATCATACAAAGAAATACAGAACTAAAGTATATTCATGCAAGAGCTTATAAAACATACATGATGAAAAAGAATTCAAACAATCTTAAAGCTTTATGTAAAATATTTTTGATGTCTGAGTTTAGTATAAAATGAGAGGAAGACATTTTGAAAGCAGATTTTCAGGGTGGTTAGTTTTAAAGCAAAATTTATGTTGTTCTTAATAAGTACCTGAAAATACCCTTCCCCAGGACAGCTGGATTGTGGCGTACTTCCCCATATTGTTTTTTTCAACTTAATTAAAATAATAAGAAAATATATAAAAACTTATGAAAAATAAAAAGACAACAGTTTAAAAGCAAAGAAACATTCAAAAAAACAAAATAAACATGCAACGTAAATTTTTACATATATAAAATTAAATATAACTTTTAAGCTGACCTTTTGACTTCTGGTTTCTGCTATTACCTCTATATATTCTGAACTACAATACATAATAAGATAAATACATAAAGTATAAACATTCCACATTTACACTTGTGTAAAAGACCTAGTTTAATGTGGACTCATACTTGAAAGGAAAATTATTCAACAAAGTCTTTCCACCTAAGAGCAAGCAGTAAGGAATCTTTATTCTAGGTGCAAAACATGAACATGAGAAGCACGGCTCTCAAATGATAGCACAGAGGCAGTGTCCTGCTGTTTGGTAATTTAAAGACACTTCACCCATCACAATTGGCACTTTCATTGCAGGAATTCGTATTTTGAAACTGTGTAACTACCATAATTTCGTAATTCCTAAAAATTATTTGGCACTGTGTATTTCTAACAAATAATCTCTCTCTTACTGTATCTTGGATATTGAAAGTTACTCTGGGTCCCGGAGATGCTGCATCCACACGGATTTCAGGGAGCTCCTCAGTTTCTCCCATTCGAGAACTGGAAGTGAAATACAAAGTTATAAAACAATAATAATAGTCTTTTTAAAAAAAGTCCCTGGACTTAATGGAAGTCTAGCAAATGACAGTAAATTCTAAATATTTCTAAATATTTACCTTATCCAAGGATTAAAATTTTTGGTATCCCATTTCTGAATCTTTAGCATCCCATAAAAAAAAAAAGAACACTGAATATTTTAATTAACATGAGATTTTCTAAAACTCAACCATATTAAAAAATTTATACTTCTTACTTTAAGTGCTCATTAATTAGTAAGACAGTATTTTTCTCTAATATGTAGAATGTACTTCTTTACTAAAAAGTACACAATGATTCTGGTATAATTACGATAGAGGAATTCCTCAAACTTTTTAGTTTGACAGTATCCATTATTACCAGTATTTGACTAATATGTTTCATTTTTGCTCCCTTATGTAATTTCCCCAATTAGAACATAATAAATAAATAGTGGACCTTCATAAAGGAGTCAGCAATTTTATTACTTGTTTCAGTAGTGGAAATATATATTACCTTGCCCTTTCCATTCGTTTAAGAGGAGGTCTTCCAGAAGCAGAAATGCTTTTTGAACGGCTATAACTTGGTTTGTAACCCAAACCCCACTTATCCTTTAGAGAAGCAGCCTAATGAAATGGGAGAGGAAGAATGACTTTAGACAATTGTTTATGTCATAATATCTGACTACAGATAAAATATTCTATTCAACAAAATAGTATGTTTCCCCAGGTCAATAACATGTTACTTTAAATTTGACTTTAAATGTCACTTAACAGTATATAGATGGATCAAAGTAGAGCAGGACTCTGCTGCTTTTCAGTCCTAATGTCAATTAGGAGGGCTGTAAAATGAAAATACAATTCACTGTCTGGCCTGAGAGAGAAAAGAAAAAGATTGGGAGCAGGCATGAGGGGTACAGAAATAAGGTGAGAAGAAAGGAAACAAAAAGGAAAGAAAGGCAAAAGAAAATGAGAATTAAAAGGAAAGATTCTGAGAGAAAGCTGGGTGGTGGGAGGAGGTGAAAGGGAGATCAGAGGAGAGCCGGAGGCAGAGAGGGAGAGGCTGGGGTGGGGAGGCCATCGATCATCTCAAGTACCACCCACGGGCACCCCTGCCATGGCAACTCCATTACAGGAAAGGAAAGGAAGGGGTGACCTCAACACTCTACTTGTCTCCAAATCCCTCTTCTCCAAAGGTGTAGTTGGGGGCTGGATAATGAAAAGATTCCAAGACAATGGAGATTTGGAATGCAAGAGGACTGAGGGGGAAGTGAGGGGGGAAAGACAGATGAGATACATGTTAAGAACACTGATAAAACTTCGAGAATTTCCCTAATTCTCTCTACCTAGATTTTATTTTTAACAGTCAATTACCAAGTATAAACTACCTTATAAATAGTACATAAGCAGTATTTTAATTCTATTGTATGATTGTTAGGTATATAGTAGCAAAAATTTTAAACACAGACTTATGCATTACAGATCATCACTATCCATTTATTACCATCAGAAGCCAGTGATGAATAACTCATACTGGATTTTATCTTCAATTTGAATAAATAATTTAGAACAGTATTCAAACTAGGGTGTCTGGGAGTTTGGGGTGATCAAGAAAGTTTAAGCCAATGAACCCTGGATCCCTGCAAACTTTCCCCCCTTCCTCTGGCCCAACCAGCTCTGATTTAATGCTTTTTATGTATTAGGGTACCATCAAAAAATGGAGGGTTCTGTTATTTAAAAAAAAAATAAGGTTAAGAACCTATCTTTTTTGAAAAAAGTAGTTTTTCCACTAACAAGACCACCTTGATCCAAGGAAACCTACCTCCATTTAAATACATTTTAGAACTATTTTCTACTATATGTTTACAGAATATCTATCTACATATTTATTTCACTTGTTCAGCAATTGGACTAAATCCCAAAAAATGTGGTAGGAAATGGGGTCAAAGATAAATAACTTGTTATTTATGAGACTCATTCTAGTTAGGACAACTAAATGTGCAAAGAAAAGAGAATGAAGTGCTGAGAGTACATAGTGGTTGAGAGGTAAAGTCAGCTGTGGAAAATGGGACAGGAGTAGAATGGGCATCTCAAAGGACTCATACTGAGATATAGACTGAAAAGAAAGTGTGATTTTATGAAAGGTGGACAAAAGACAGTGGCTAAGGACAGACTGTAGAGTCCCACCGTTTGGGTTTAATCTTGGCTCCACCAAGATTGACGGCTGTATAACCTTGGTCAAATTACTTGACTTCTCTCTGTCTCAGTTTCCTCATTTTCAAAATGGGGAAAAAAATACAAGCTACCTCATATGGCTATTGTAAAGACTTAATGGGTTGTTAAATGTAAAGTGCTTTAAACAGTGCCTAGTACATAGTAGATATGAGATGTACAAATCAAGTGGTATTATCACCGGCAATGGAGAAAGAAAGAGAACTTCAGTATGGTCACAAAGTTTCATAAAGTAAAAAATAATGGTCTACTCCAATAATAAAATTCTTCTTAAATGTTGACTCACTCGCATACTGGACCTCCGTAATTTCTTACGAACGTCTCTTCGAATATCATTCACAGCAACAGATTCTAACTGTTGATAACGCTGAATTTCCTGGTTTATGGTTCCTTCACTTGCACCTAGTTTTCTGGATGCAAAACAAATATGGCAATTAGTGTAAAGAGGTAACAGAGTAAGAATGATTTATATTTACTCCACAGAACATCAAAGATTATATATGGACAGGTCAAAATCCTCCATAACTTTTAACACCTTGGTGATCTCATTTATAAATTAAGGGGTTGTACTAGCCCAAATCCAGTTTTCTCCATATTTAAAATTCTATGATTCTATTATTAAAAAATATTATATTAAAAATCATTACACATACTTAAGATCACCTACTAAACTGTAAAAAAACTCTAATATTTTAGGAAATGGCTTTCTCACCTCTGCCTTAAGAATCTCTATGACAACTTCATGAAAGCTATGGACCCACTCTGCAGAATAATGTCTGTATATAAAATTCTACATAAATTTAAGCCTCAGGTACAATTTAAAGGAAGGAAGTATATTTTGCTTCAAGTCATTTTTAACCCCTGAGAGCAAAACTCAAACTGTAATGTAAGTCAACAGGAAAATGTGAGTCACTGTATCGTCATTAATTTATAGACCAGTTTTTAGGTAATACCTATCATTGTACAAAATGCACATATTTGTCCAGAGTCCCTGAATGCAAAACCTCTGACACAGGTGGTGTATGAAGATTACAAAAGATGTACTGAATCATTGAACACTACATTAAAAACTAATGATGTATTATAGGTTGGCTAACTGAACATAAAAAAAAAATTTATATTCCAGAAATACCAATGTTAGCAAAAGACCAACACATATGTTAACATACACATGTGAAGTTACATGTAGGTGTATATATATATGTAGAGATATGTATATGTGATACAAAGTCTGTCATAAACTGCCCAGAAATGGGGAGTTGTGATGAGTGCTGCACCAGGACTTCAAGCCTAACTTAATCACTAATGAATGTATGATCTCAGGCAAGTTATCAAACTCTACTGGACCTTGGTGATCTCATTTATAAATTAAAGGGGTTGTACTAGCCCAAATCCAGTTTTCTCCATATTTAAAATTCTATGATTTTATTATTTAAAAATATTATATTATATTAAAAATCATTACACATACTTAAGATCATCTATTACTTTGGCCTGTTCATTCAGTTCTCTGATATCCACTATACGCTTCATAATTTTTCTTCCTCTAAGTTCTCCTGGCTGGCTACAAGATGCTCCTTGTCTTCGATAATCTACAGCTTCCTGAAAAATCAAAAGCATGTCTGTCAATACCATCCTCAGGTCACATAGGCAAATCTATACTATCACAAAAATAACACCTTAAATCAAAGGAAGCATGCAAGAATCAAAGCCATCTATATCAAGTAAGATGATTGGAATTCTCCAGTGATTCAAATCCCTTTATTTTCACAAGGAATCTATGTAGTTGCTACCTACGTTTCCCCATGAGTGAGCTCTGCATGCTTTCAAATGGGACTGGCTAGATTGAGGGGAGCCCCACATCTCTGGGTCACACAGATACTCTGCAGGAACAGAATAGCGCTGATTTGGGGGCGTCAGGCCTAGCAGGTGATTTACAAGTCGCTGCCCAAAGGTGAGCTTGTGGCCATCTCCACTTACTGAACTTCCATCTGAACTCTAAATGATAAACAGTAACATTAATTTTTTAAAAATTTCTTTCTAAAAACAAGACTATTTCATGAAACAATAGTTAAAAGATACCTAAATTTTTTTTAAACCAATACCAGAACAAAAGCAGAGAGTAATTTGCCTTTTAACTACCAAATAATTTATACTATATACAGTATAGAGGGAAATACATCTTTTTAAATGTATACTTTATTTTGTGTGCATGCACTTTGCTTTTCAGATTCATTTTTTAGCACCTTTATTGAGATATAATCCACATGTCATAAAATTCACCCATTTAAAATGTAAAATTCAGTGGTTTTGAGTATATTCACAAAGTTGTACAACTGTCACCACAATCTGTTTAGAACATTTTCACCACCCCAAATGAAACATCATAACTAACAGCAGTCTTTCTCCATTCCCCATCCCTGACTCTCCCAGCCCTCAGCAACCACTAATGTACTGTATGTATCTACAGGTTTGCTTGCACTTTGCTTTTAATGTTAGTACATTACTTGCAGGTTAAAGCACAAGTTTGTTGACAGTTATTATGAAAACTGTCAATGAAAAGACAATATTATGAAATTAAAAAACAACATTATAAAATATAGACCCAGGGAACCACCACTCTCTCCCTTCCTCTACCATTATCAACTACAATATAATAAATAACATTAAGTCAATCTTTTCCTTGTCTCAGGGTAAAGGCCAGTCCAGAAAAGTCTAACAGTGAGTTTACTTACAGTATGGATAGTGGGAGACATAGTATCAACTTCATCCTCATCTGACAGGTCAGCTATGTTCACTGAATTTAGATCAGCAATGTCATCTATGTCCTCCTCTCCTGTCAGAGTCGTAAGGGTATTGCCCAGAGCATTAAGTCTTTTGCCAATGTTAGGATCCATGTGGACATCGATCCCACACATTTTCCACAAAACATTGAGTGTCCACGTTCCAGCACTACTACTTTCTGTTTAAATAAAGAGAAGTGGCATTTTTGGTAAGTCTTGAGTTCAGAAATTTAACTCAATCTATATTTAAGGAATAAAGTGGATGATGGCCTTGTGTAACAACTAATCTCTCTCACAGCTAGGTCTGGGATTGATTTCCCTTTGCAGAGTGTGCATCTCTTGTTCCCTCTGTGCAGCACCCTTCTTTCTCCTGTGAACTACGGATTCTCTCTTCTCCCTGCTCCCGAACTGATCTACCCTCCCATGGCTGTAGTGGGAATTGCCGTGACCCTCACTCATTAGTCAGAATTAGATAAGTAGGCCAGGTGAGAGTCAAAGTTGGGAAACTGAAACCCTTCCCTGGACTTCAGAAAACAATGGTCCCTCTCTAATAATTGAGGGTGGGGGAATGAGGCTCATGAGCTGATGGCAGCCATGTCTCCTGCCGTGTGTAAGGAGGAGATCAGCAGTATGAAGAAAATGAAGCAGCCAGAGAGGAGCAAAGAAAAGAGCCCTGGTGGCAGTTGAAATCTTGGATCCAGGAGTTCCTGAGGGTCCCTAAATTGACCTAGTTCCTTATCTTCACTGAGATAGCTATTCCTAAGTTTAACTGTGATCTGTACATTCCTTTTAATAAACTCCCCCCTTCTGGTTAAGCTAGTTTGCATGCCTTGTCGTGACTTATAAACCAGAGTCCTGACAGACTTTTATGTGGCCTTTCTCCAAATATGTATGTGTTTACCTCAGTCATCACCCTTTCCTTCTAATATTACTCCTGGAAATTTCTTTTTTTTTTTTTTTAAAGATTTTTATTTATTTATTTGACAGAGAGAGAGACAGTGAGAGAGGGAACACAAGCAGGGGGAGTGGAAGAGGGAGAAGCAGGCTTCCCGTTGAGCAGGGAGCCCGATGCGAGGCTGGATCCCAGGACCCTGGGATCATGACCTGAACCGAAGGCAGACGCTTAATGACTGAGCCACCCATGCGCCCCACTCCTGGAAGTTTCTTAAACTCTTCTTCAGTTCTGGGTCAGTGGGACTGTTGGCCTTGCTACTTTCTGAGACAATTTACTTAGGATGAGAATCAAGGCTAGGCTTGGGGAGGACAACAGGAAATAGTAAGGACAGAAAGGAAATCTACTAACTTTAATCAGCTTCTACTCGCACTGACATTTTAAGAGCCCTTAAATAAATATCTTCCTTTAGCTTACCCTTACTTTATACCAAGTAAAATCAAAATCACTAAAAATTTACATTAGACAGGTTTTAACTTCCAGAGTTATCTCCTAACCAGTTTCTTAAGATTTTTTTCCTTTCTAATCCTTGGAAGTGTCTTTCTTGCTCACAAAAATTCAGTGGCTCTCCCACTGTCAACCAAATTAAGTCCAGACTCCTTAATTTGAGATTTAACATTTTTCCCATATTATTTTTTACATAACTCTGTTCCACCCAGTCTGGACAACTCTAACTAGACACCCTTTTCATAGCATAACTAATATTCTGTCTGGCTGAATTTTCTGACCCATACCCTTCCAGTTTCTGCTTCAGAAACAATTTTATCTGTTAAGTCCCTATTCAAATGCTTGTTAAATATTAAAAGAAGCTTTCTCTGGGCCGCATGGGTGGCTCAGTCGGTTAAGTGTTTGCCTTCGGCTCAAGTCCTGATCCCAGCGTACTGGGATCAAGCTTGCCTTCGGGCTCCCCACTCTGTGGGGAGCCTGCTTCTCCCTCTGCCTCTGCATCTTTCTTTCTCTGACTCTCATGTCTCTCTCTCTATCTCTCACGAATAAATACAATCTTAAAAAAAAAAGATTTCTCTAATCCTAGTATCCTTCCAAATTTGGAATTTTTCTCTCTCCTCAGTAGATTTCAGAAGCAATTAGAATTTCATATTTTTTTGAACTTACCACTTATTATAGCTTAGTCATGCTGCAGAGCCTCAACTACATTAGAATTTAAATTTATACAGAGTAGAAAGTATATCTTATTCGTATTTGTCTTTCCCAAAACTTTTTGCAGTATATCAGCAAGTGTCTAATAAATAATTGTTAAATAAATAAAAATATGCTAATATTAAAAATAGTTTTAAAATCAGGGAACACCGGATTAAAGATTCTCTTAATGTTAATATAAAGGCTATATATGTCTGTGTATATATGTGTATTTACATATATATGTATAAAAAGGCAGAATTCTAACTTATATATGTAAAAAAGGTAATACCAATCATGAACTTACCAGCAGCTGCTTGTCCTGTAGTCCTAGAACATACTTCATAGGTGCCATCTGGAACTACACCTGCATTAAAAATCACCCCAAAAATAGTTTTCAATAAAATTATGGTTGTGAGCATCCTTTCTTGATTAAAACACTTCAGAGTGTAGGGATAGAGGGTACATACCTTAATATCATAAAAGCCATCTATGAAAAACCCATAGCAAATATCATTCTCAATGGGGAAAAACTGAGAACTTTTCTCCTAAGGTCAGGAACATGGCAGGGATGTCCACTATCACCACTGCTATTCAACATAGTATTAGAAGTCCTAGCCACAGCAATCAGACAACAAAAAGAAATAAAAGGCA